TAAATGAAGGTTTTGATGTGCCTGGGATTTCTACTCCCCTTGCTCGCATGCCTCCTCCGGCTGACAAAGGAAGTAACCCTAAAACTGCTGTTGCTGAATCATCCACCTTCAAGAAAGATGATGTTGAAAGGAAACTTGAGAAGCTTGCTATCTCTGCTCTGAAGGAAGTGGAAGAAGAAAATGTTGAACAAGATGTTGAAGAGAACTCTCCTATAAAGGAAGATGCTGCTGCCTCAAAGGATGGAGGTCACAATGCTGAGAATGTAGTCAATGTAGAAGAGTTGTCTGACAATGACCTCATTACTAATGTGGTACCTGGTATTGCAGGAAGACTAAAATCCAAGAAAGTAAAGAATGTAAGTGACACACCCCCTGCCAAGACAACCAAGAAGAAAATCATGTATGGACCCCCAAATTCGGGAAGCAAATTGGTTCCTCCCTCTAGCAAAAGAAAAGCTAGATCTGTTAGCTCCACAGATGATGATGATGATGATTATGATGATGCTGTAAAAAGATCCAAGAGTAAGAAGAAAGTTGTGGTTGTTGAAGAAGTTGACTCAGACTATGATGTTGAGCAAGATGCCCAAGACATCTCTCCTATCAAAAAGTCTGCAAGGAAGAAGCTTTTTGTTAGGGTTCCTGATGCCCCACTTGACAACATCTCCTTCCATTCTGTTGGAAATGCTGAAAAGTGGAAGTATGTGTATCAAAGAAGGATTGCCCTGGAGAGAGAACTGAGAGCTGATGCTTTGGAATGTAAAGAAATCATGGAGCTGATATCTTATGCTGAATTGATGAAAACAGTTACCAGGTTTGTCAAATGCCATGAAACTCTTGTTAAGGAGTTTATTGTTAATATTCTTGTTGACTGTACTGACCATAAAAGTAAGGAATATAGAAAGGTTTTTGTTAGAGGAAAGTGTGTAGAATTTTCTCCTGCCATTATAAATAGATTTTTAGATAGTTCTGAAGATGTCTGCTGTGAGCTGGAAGTTACAGATAATCAAGTGTGCAGAGCCATTACTGCTAATCAAGTAAGTGAATGGCCCATGAAAAATAAACTTCCTGTTAGAAAACTGAGTGTGAAATATGCTATTTTACATAAGATTGGTGCTGCAAATTGGGTTCCCACTAATCACACCTCAACCATCTCCATTGGATTAGGAAAGTTCATTTATGCTATTGGAAACCAGAAACATTTTGATTATGGAACTTACATCTTTGATCAGACCATTAAACATGCAGGAACTTACGCCATTAAGATGCTAATTTCTTTTCCTTCCCTCCTCTATGGAATTATACTTACTCCGCATCCTGGAATCCTAAGTGGAAATGATATAGTGTGCAAGAGTGAGTCTTCCTTGACCCTTCATTTTAAGCTCTTTTCAGGAAAACATGTCCCAGACATTGTTTTGACATATGCACCTACTGAAAAGACCTCCACTAAGGATGATATGATCAAAGAATTAAGAGAAGCCTGTAAGGAATTGGATGATGTGATCAGAGTTAGCTCAGCAAGGAAGCTAACCTTTGAAAAGATGATTAAGGACCTGCAAAAGGACAACAACCTTGATGATACAATAAACTCTAAAGGTGAAGACTCTAGTGAAGAAGAAAGTTTTGGCTCAAACAAGTCAACTGGTCCTGGTGACAATTAGACTAATTGATGTTTCTCTATGTGATGCTTTTTGTTTCTTTTTAGCACTTGCATGTGCTTGACATTTAATTTATATGGTCTGTACCTAAATTACACTCTTGAATGCATCCTTATATTTAGCATATTATGACTAAAAAGGGGGAGAGAAAGTGAGTGAGTGAATGACTAACCACTGACCACTGACTGACCACTGACCATTGATTGAGGGGGAGCTCAATACTTGAGGGGGAGCCTCATGTCTTAGAAGATGTTTTGACATCTTCCTTTGCTAACAGCTAACTGCTAACTGAATTTATGTTTTGATTGCTTTGCTTATGCTAGTGCTCTGATAATGCTCTGATAATGTTTTAGCCTAAATTTGCCAAAGGGGGAGTTTGTAAGTGTTTGTTGACAACAATTTTGGTAAAACAATGTCTTAATAATATTTTGCTAAATGTCTTAACATTTGGAGCAAAACTGTGTTGTATGATGTCAAAGCAGATGTCTTGACATCTGCCTCCTGAACTGATCTCAGTCAACATCAGTATTTGTTTTGCTGTTTCCTGTTTTCCAATGTTCCATAATTCAAGATTTGTAACTCACGGGCAGCGAAAAATATGGAGGAATATTTTTCAAAATGCATGGATTTTATCTTGACCTGTTTTTATGGAAATATTCAAAAGAATTAAATATTTGGTTTTAAAGCCCAAGCCCACGGGTGCACATATATAAGGATTTGCTTCCTTATTCAAACCACTGCAACTTTTGAAGAAGAATACTTTCTTTCTGTTTTAAAAAGTCTAAGTCTTTTAATTGTCAAACACTCTAGTATTGATTGAATACTTGTGTGGTTATTTGTATTGTTAATTATGTATCATTCATAAGCTTTTAAGCATTGAATGATTGAAGTGTTTTAAACTTATTATTTCTGTTAGTTTTCCACTGTAAGTGATTGAAGGGATTTGAGGAGGGCCTCATACCTAGGTGAGTCTTAGGTAGAAGTTTAGCACGAGTAGTGATTAAGTGATTAGATCGTAAACTGGTTGTTTACTGAGGGTCTATGAATTGATACTATTTAGTGAACTTGTCCCTGGCTTGGTAGTCCCCAGAGTAGATGTTGTTGTACACTGAACTGGGTGAACATCTCTTGTGTTTTTACTACTTTTGATTTTACTTCACTTTACTTGCAAGCAGATATTTGTGTCGTGACATCTTATTTGACATCATATATCTGATACCATAATTTCAATAACAACTGAGAAACCTTTCTCAATAAGCTGACCCACACTCATCAGATTGCTCTTAATGCCAGGAACATACCAAACATCTTTGATCAAAACAATCTTCTCATTCTTCACTTTAACTTTGACATTTCTCATACCTTCTGCATTAAGGTACTTATCATCAGCACATCTGATCTTTGTCCTCCTTTTGGAGTCAAAATCTATCAGCCATTATTTGTTTCCAGTCAAGTGGTTTGAGCAGTCAGTATCCATATACCATCGGTCTACCAAACACCTTCCATCAGACTCAGAAGCCATCAATAGCACAGGTTCATCATCAGAATCTCCTCTGGCTATATTTGCTTCTTGTGGATTTCTTTCCTTGTTTGACCAACAATCTTTACCAAAGTGGCCAAACTGCTTGCAATAGTAACATTGAACCTTCTTCTTGTCGTACTTCTCATTTCCCTTATGATATTTTTTCTCATCAGAAATGGAGGTTTCTGAATTCTGAGACCTACCATGTCTTTTCTGCTTCTGGTCCTTCTTGACAAAAGAAGCTTTCAGAGTCAGCTCAATCTCCCTCTCAGAAGTTCTTTCAGCCAGACACAACTCTTGCGCCTCTAGACTGCTTTGCAACTCTTCTATTCTCATGGTGTCTAGATCTTTAGAATGTTAAATTACTACAACAATGTAATCAATTTGAGGGGTAAGAGACCTCAATATCTTCTCAATGATTACTTGTTCAGAAAGAGTTTTTCCACAAACTTTCATCTCATTAGTTATCAGAATCACTCTAGAGATGTACTGAGATACCTTCTCGTTGTCCTTCATGTTGAGATTCTCATACTGCTTTCGTAGATACTAAAGCTTCACCTTCTTCACTGATGCGTCACCACCGTAACACCTAACCAGTGTGTCTCACGCAGCCTTCGCCGTCGTCGAATCAGTGATTTTCTCAAACACGTTCATATCTACACACTGATGGATGTAGAACAACGCCTTCTGATATTTCTTCCTTTTATCTCTCTGGGCATTTCTCTATTCCTCTGTCACATCCACTGCAACCGGAACGTAACATTCATTAACAAGCTAAAGAACATCTTGAGCACCGAACAACACGCGCATCTGAATCATCCAGCGATTCCAGTTCTTGCCATCGAACACTGAAAGTTTGGTGTTCAGACTACCATTTCCATTCATCTTCAAACTTGTGCAAGTCACTCAGATCTCACCAAACAAAGTGTTTCCCAATCCCGCAGAATCAGAAAATGTGATTCTGTTATGATTTGTTCACAAAATCAATCACACAACGCCTCACAGTTTCACTCGTGTTTCCCTGTGGATCTGAACTGGAGCTCTAGATACCAAATATTAGTGCACAAGGTGATGAATGAGAGAATAAATTTTATTGCTTTGCAATGACGACTACAAAGATGTAAGAAAGATAAGGGTTATAAAAGACAGCTACTACTAATCTATTTATACACACAAATTAAGACCACATAGGTAACATACTAAAATACTAAATTACCCTTCAATAATGATTTGCTAGGTGCTAGGCTTCAAGTGCAGTGACAACTCTGACTCTGGCACGTTCATATGTCTGTAAAAATAATATGTTTTGTTTCTAAATTATTTGTAAGGGTCTAACCAACTCTACTTATGATGTTTTTCTTACCAAATCTTTATTTCACTCTGGTATTTCATATGAGAAATTCAAATCAAATAAAACTCGGACAAAAATTAAGCATGAGCCATTTTGAAAGTTTGTTCCTAATATTGTTGAATACATATCTAATAATCCTTTTGGTCCTTATTATAAATATTTTAAAATTTATTGAATAATAAAGGAGTATATCTCATTTAGATCGGTGTGAATAATTTTTTAATTGATTTCCAACACGTTCACTCCGTTTATAGTCAAAGTTCCATAGGACATTAAATAGAACCAACCACATGTTATGTTCACATTCTTTGAACTAGTTGTCTTGTAGGTAGCTTGATATTTATTTGCTAGATTCCCATTTAGTGGATAGCAGGCAACTTCCTTTATTCATGATAGATGCTGCGCCTAACAAAGGTCTAGGAATACAAACATTGGAGCAGCAACAATAATCAATAATCAGAGCTCAACTCAAATGGCAGAAGTGGCAGTGTCATTAGTTATTGATCAACTAGTTCCACTGATAAGGGAAGAAGCTAAGCTGTTGAGAGGTATTGACAAAGAGTTTGCAGATATTAAGGATGAGCTTGAAAGTATTCAAGCTTTCCTTAAGGATGCGGATAAAAGAGCTTCAACAGCTGAAGGAGTCAAAACATGGGTGAAGCAAGTTAGGGAAGCAGCTTTTGGCATTGAAGATATCATTGATGATTATTTGATCCACGTGGGGCAGCAGCCTCCTCATCCTGGATGTCTATTTTTACTCCATAAACTCAAAATTATTATCCCTCGACGCCAAATAGCGTCTGAGATTCAAGACATTAAGTTATATGTTCGTGGGATCAAGGAAAGAAGTGAAAGATATGGCTTCCAATATTCCTTAGAACAACGATCAAGCAATTCTCGGGAAAGACAGGATTCTAAATGGCACGATCCTCGAGTGGCTGCTCTTTACATTGAGGAAGCTGATGTTGTGGGCTATGAACCACAAAGAGATGGGTTGATTGATTGGTTGGTAAAAGGAAGTGATGAGCGCACTGTAGTTTCTGTAGTTGGAATGGGAGGGCAAGGAAAAACTACTCTTGCCAAGAAAGTTTTTGAAAGCAAGAATGTTGTTCGACACTTTGATTGTCGCGTATGGATCACTGTGTCTCAATCATATAGTGTTGAAGGGTTGTCGAGGGATATGTTGCTAAACTTATACAAGCAAAAAGGAGAAGATCCTCCTGACGATACTTTTCAAATGGATCGAGGGTCATTGACGGGTGAGGTGAGAAACTACTTGCAGAAAAAGAGGTACGCTGTCGTCTTTGATGATGTTTGGAGTGAACATTTTTGGGGTGATATTGAATTTTCATTAAGTGATAATAAAAATGGAAGTAGGATATTTATCACAACAAGAAACCTAGATGTTGCGATGTCTTGTAAAAAATCTTCTTTTGTTGAGGTTCTTGAGTTGCAACCGTTAACTCAAGAACAATCTTTCGAGCTGTTCAAAAAGAAGGCATTCAAATTTGACTATGCTGGGTGTTGTCCAAAGGAGCTGAATGATATAGCTTATGAAATTGTTAGAAAATGCAAGGGATTACCACTAGCAATCGTTGCCATTGGTGGTGTTTTGTCTGCAAAAGAGAAAAATGTTTTTGAGTGGCAGAAATTTAATGAAAATCTAAGCTTAGAGCTATTGAAAAGTACACATTTAACTGGGATACAAGAAATTTTAGGCTTAAGTTATGATGATTTGCCTTACCATCTCAAATCATGCTTGTTGTATTTTGGAATATATCCACAAGATTACCAAGTTAAAACAAAGAGAGTAATTCAACAGTGGATAGCTGAAGGGTTTGTGAAAGAGGAAAGGGGGAAGACTCTGGAAGAAGTTGCAGAAGGATATTTAACAGACTTGATTCATAGAAGCTTAGTGCAATTGTCTTCGGTTAGAATTGATGGTAAAGTTAAGAGTTGTCGTGTTCATGATCTAATACGCGATATGGTCCTAAAAAAAATTGAGGATTTAAACTTTTGCAAGCATATTAGTGAAGACGAAGAATCATCCTTAAGTGGAAGAGTTCGGCGCCTATCAATAACAACCACCTCTGACGATTTCATTGAGCGTACTGAAACATCACATGTTCGGTCAATACTTGTTTTTACAAATAAAGAATCAAATATATACTTTGTGAGGAAATTTCCTACAAAATACGTACGCTTAAAGGTTCTTGATTATAAATGTTCGCGACTGTTGAATGTTCCTAAAGAGCTGGGAAGTATGGTTCACTTGAAGTATTTAAGTCTGGGGTACATAACAGCAGGTAAAATCCCAAACTCCATTGGCATGCTCCAGAGCCTAGAGACCTTGGATCTAAGGGCTGCTAATGTTAATGAGTTGCCAAAAGCGATTAGCAAGCTTAGAAAGCTAAGACACCTTATCGGCTCTGGACTATCTTTGATTCGATTAAAGAATGGTGTCGGAGAGATGACATTGTTACAAACACTATGTTATGTTAATCTAGGTATGGATGGAGCTGTAGAGGTGATTAAAGAGTTAGGAAAGCTGAAGCAGATGAGAGAAATCGGGTTGCTTAATGTTCGTAGAGATGATTACAACGCTCTATCTTCGTCGATCACTGAAATGAAACACTTGGAGAAATTACATGTTAAGCTAAGTTCTACAGCTAGCAATGAATTCATTGATTTGAATTTGATTTCACCGCCGAGTAAGCTTCGAAAACTTACACTGCGTGGGAGGCTAGAGAAGTTGCCAGAGTGGATTTTAGAGCTTGGAAATGTTGTTGTGTTGAGGTTGAAGCTCTCCTGTTTAACTAAAGATCCAATGGAATCCCTCAACAGTTTGCAACACTTGTTGATTCTCTCTATAGGCGTCGGTGCTTATGGAGGTTCAACTTTGCATTTTCAAGATGGATGGTTTCAGAAACTAAAGGAAATGGACGTTGGATCTTCAAATGAATTGAAAGAGATTATTATCGACAAAGGAGCACTGCCTTCTCTGAAAAAGCTTCAGTTATTCGGACTCCCCAAACTGAAGAATGTACCAACTGGCATCCAACACTTGGAGAAGCTTCAAGTTCTCCATTTTCGGAGTATGCAACTTGATTTTTTGCAGCAAAATTCTTCCAAGGATTGGAATTGGCTTATGGAACATGTGCCCCTTGTAGAAATTTCACCACTTGATGGAAACGTTATTCCAAATTCAAGGAGTTAGACTTAGAAATCATGCTTTATCATACTAATTTATTTGATCTGGAATATGCTTCTTTATGTATATGTTTCTTTTGTGCTATTTTTATAAGAGTATAATGATTATGCACAATCAACCAATAAAAATAAATTATTCAACCACATCGTATCAGAAATTATTCAACCAATTAAAATTTACATTCTGATACGATGAGATTCATGATGGTGATTAATTGACAATATAAAATAATTTTACATACATATCCCATTTTCTCCTTTTATAATCAAACATATAATAAAACAATATTATTCATATCTTCTTTTTTAATAGTCCATACACAGGTATCACAAAATATGTTCTTCAACACTAGCCTAAAATACCATCACACTTTCCAAGTGTGCTTTCTTTAGGCATAATTCTTTGTAATACTCTTTTTCCTTATTGAAACTTCATATTTTTTACTCCCTCGATTACATATTATTTGTTACAATCGACCATTTCACATATATTAAGAAATAATAATAAATAAAAGAGAGATAACAGTGACTTTACTAAATTATTCTTATTAATCATTACTGTATTCCAATTAACATTAATGTTAAGTGGAAAAACAATAAATTAAGAGTATTTATTAGAGATACAATTGAAAAATTAAATATAGAATTGTATTGATAATCTAAACTAACAAGTATTTTGAGACAAATATTTTTTCTAAATGCGACACTTATTTCAAAACGGAGAGAGTATAATATTTCGGATGTTCCTATTGGACATGAATATGAAAATACAATATGAAATGCACTTCAAACTCCTGTTAAGTTATCGTTATTGAAGTTTCAATAAAATATCCATTCCAATAATAATTGCATTTAAAAAAATAATATGCAGAGTTAAAGAATTAACTTACCACACTAACAGAAAAATATTTGTCTAGTTTTGGCAAGGTGAGATAATTCGATTTTTCTACTAGTCTTTGGTATTTACTTGATAAGTGCTCAAATTACATAAAATCTGTAGGTATTTCTTGACTTATTTTACAACCTACTAATATAAAAACCCAATTTATTAATAAACAATGTTAAAACATTATGTTTGAACTTTTTAATTGCACATTTATCAAAAATAGGTGAAAAAGACTGAAAAACACAAAACAACACACAAGCCTTACCAAGAAAAATTTTCCACAAGCAATGCTCGCTAGGCCATACTCATGGGAGGGTTAGGCGATCACATGGTAAAAAAGACTTCTTGTCTAAGTTACTTCACAGTGAAGAAAGGGCTTGTGCACTAGTCAAAGATGGGTGGTATGTCTAGCGAGTTAGGGCAACTAGGACTAGTTGTAGGGTGAACTGACATTGCTTAAAAGAGAAGAAAGTAGGTGCACTATGCGAGGATGGGCGGTGTGCGTAGTGGCCCTACCTTTTTCAAACCTACAAATAGGAGGGCCAAAATCAGTTCAAATAGAGTTTTTAGTGGATTCAAAGGAGTATATAAAGAAAGTAGGTTCACCTCGAGTCTCAACATGAGAGAATAAGAAGAGGAAGATTGAAGGCTGAAACGGTGCTCGAGAGAGATGTAAATATTGTTCAACCTCTTTCTTCTAGGGCTTAAATGTAAATCTAAGACGAGTAAGCGTAGCTAATTCTCTTTTGTGGAGGTTAGGCGTAATCGTCTTTATACTCATGTATTCATTATAGTCATGTCATTTTATGTAATTCTACTTAAACTTTAATATGGATGATTCTTTGTTCTTAATGGTTATTTTGTATTAGCTACCTAAAATATGCTCATGATACGACCTGACATACGAGAGGTGATGGTCGTCACAAGATCCAAGTCTCGGTGTAATCGAAAAAACGTGTAAATTAGGGCGGTTATAGAAGCGCTTTTACAACGATTTTAACCGCCATAATTTACAAAATGACGTTTTCAAAAAATAGTTTCGCTGCCGCTAGGTAAATAATGGCGGTTCCTCAATAACCGTCGCACAAACCGCCACAATATACCTAAATGTAAAAAGTCGGTTTTTGTTTGTTAATTTCGACAGTTCAAACCGCCATAATTTTCATAGGTTTTATAAAAAAAAAGTAAAGCATACAATTCTCAATATCAATAATTGCTATTAAAAAATGCTAAAAATATTGATATCTCATCCATAATAATAACATAATAGTGACTCACTTGTAATTTATAACATTCTAACATCCATTTGTATAATAATCTCTAACCCAACCTAGAATATGCTTAGAGGATTTGATTAACTTGTATAAGTTTTTCTCAGATATTCAAACACTTCCCCAAAACTTTAAGTGATGTCTACTATGTCTTCCGTCAAAGTTGGATAAATGTGGTTCATTTTCATGTAATTAAAGTCCCACTATAGAGTTATGCCTTCCAAGTGAATATAGGCTAATCAATAATAAATCAACACTTGACATAAAGAGTCAATGTAGAATTTCCATCCTTTGGATTGAAATCAAACAAGCAAAAATACTAAACCTCTTAGAAATATCAAGCTTCATATGAATTAAGTCTTTATAAAAATTGGGCAGAGTAACAGTTGTATACAGAGGAATTCCCAATCACAGACAAAACATATAATCATAATAACCTGCACACAAAGAAAATCAACCCAATGTCTTTGGGTAAACCCCAACAACTCCAAACAAAATAACAACAAAGGCACAAGGTCCCAAGGGTAATCAAAACTTCTAATCCTAAGTCCAAGAGATCCATAACTCCATTATGCCAATGATAGTAACCAAATAGTCCAAGTAACCTTAAAGCTTTTTTAATGTTCAAGTTGGTTATTAAGTGTCTTCAAAAATAAAATGAAATCTCAAGTGAGCAAAATAAAAATGACACAAAGATAAATGCTCAAGTGAGCAAAAAATAAAATGACATAAAGGTAAATGTTCAAATGAGCAAAGATAAAAAATAACATGAAATGTAAATGCTAAAGTAACTGGTGCATAAAAGAAAAGACATAAAATAAAGGACATATAGTAAAAGCATAAAGTAAAAACACAAAGTAAAAGCACAAAGTAAGGCCAATTGTTAATGAATTAGAAGTTAGAGGTTAGTTGAATGATCATCTTAAAACTTGCATTTGAAAACTCATTAGAAGAATTATAAAATCAAAGCTTCTCAACAACAAGTTTTATTTGCTTTTTGTTAAGTATATAATTCATTTCAAGTACTCAAGGCAAGCATATATGATCAATGACGTTTAACTAATTCACTTAGACCAAAATTCATGAAAGTTCATTAGAGAATTGATAAGATCAAAGTCTCCTAACAATGAACCTCAAGTTTATTGGATCAAATGTTTCAAATTAAACATACTTGGGCTTGCAAACATAGGGTTGAGCCACAAATGATCATTTTTTGAACCAGGACAAATTTAGCGCTATGTTAAGCAATCGTAAGTGGACTTATCTAGAAGTCACACCTATTTTGAGGATGGTCAATAACAATCTATGTACCACATGTTAGAGAAATGATATATAGATTATTCTCCAACAATATTTAGCCCAAGTAAGAAAGGGATAAGATGAAGAGGGAGGGGATGTATCAGATGAAATTAGGGTTTCAAATATCATCAACATCATTCATCCATTTTGGTGGATTTAATTTTTCAACCTATCAACACCCAAGATCCAATGAGGTTGAGGAACTTTTCTCAAAATAACATCCAAACCAGGACCAAACAAAAATAATAAAAATATATTTAATAAAACAATATTTAAATAATTAATAAAAGGGAAATAATTGATAAAATACACAATATTTTAAAACACCAAATAAAAATTCTAAAATAATATCAGAAGTCAAACATGAGTCAATAAGTGTTGACAAAAAGTTTCAGAATTTTTTAATGTCACAAGCTATTTTTAAAATATAAAGAAATAATCAAAACAAGCCAAAATTTGTGAAAAATAGTAAAATTAAAAATTAAAATAAAATGAGGTCACCAATATTTGTCAAGAGGTCATTGGATCTTTCCGTTATTTTTCCAGAATTTAAAAATTAATAAAAGTATTTTTAAACAATTTAAACAAATCAAATAAAATGAAAAATCATAAAAAATATCAAATCACAAAATAAAATTGTGAAAAAATAAAAATCAGAAAGAGGAAAATCAAAAGTATTTTTGATAATTTTTTCAGAATTTTAGAAGTTAAATGATTTTTTTATGAATTTTTGAAGTTTAAAACAAATAAAATATAAAAAATAGAAAATAAAAATAAAGTAAAAAAGATGTGGACCATTTGACCAATGTCAAACGCGTTAGTAAGCACATATGAGGGACCTGACGCGTTGTGCATGTTATAACCTTATTGAAAAACACACAATCAAATAAATTCGGGCCAATCAAAATAAAACAAATTGTCACGCTATTGATGGTTGAAAAGCGACACATAGGTTGTCTTCAACCTCCAGACCTCTACGCGTTGGGTTTTTAATGATATTATTCAAACAAAATCGTTAGAAGCTCAAACTAGTATCATTGTATTTGTCTCTTCCATACGATCCTAACCTTACCCTCGCGAAAAGTTTCTTTAAACCACAACTCAGTCGACTTGAGAAAAACCAAAGTGTTTTAAAAATTTTGAAATCAAATAACAGAAGCAACAAATGCATTGATTCATCAAAATTTAATTAATAGCAAGCATCAATGAAAGTCACATATCATTCCAGTAATTTGAGTTAAAAGATTTGGTGCCTTAAACTACCTGAACTAAGTCAGATGAATTTGCTCTGAAATTGGACTTGGCAAGCACGATGCAGGGCACCTCAAGGCTTGGTTCTTCTTCTGTTAGCTTTAGTGAAGTTCAAGGATGAAGAACTAATCAAGAAATAAGAGCTGGAAGCACCTTAGAATTGGATTCGAAGTTACAGAATTGAGAGGTATGGAGAGAGTTCAACATGGGTTCTTTGGCTCTCTAAAGCTTCTCCAATGAGTGGGATATCACCCTATATTTATAGGGAAGCAAATGGGATGCTCAAGCATGTGAAATGAT